ATCAAAATGTAAACCCAAAATGAAATGCACAGAAGAAACTGAGCTAGGAACACAGTCCAAATCAGCGGTCTGTTAGCATTTTTACTCTCGGTCAAATCTGAGGCCCATGATAATCCCTGTACCTAATAAAATGGTAATATGCAACAGCATGTCACTGAATGCTCTGATTTTTCAGATGCAGTGTACAATGTCACGGGCATTATTTCATAGGGAACCAAGCCACTGAATCAGAATGAGCCTGCAAAGGTACACAGGGGAGAGAGTCCTTCTGAGGGACTCCAGACTAGTCTCTAACTTCTTCTGCAGGAGACAGGGAGTGAGAGAGACAGACAGAGAGAGACAGAGACAGAAAAAGTGGGAAAGAGAAACAGAGATCAGTCATCTCATGGGGAAGAGAGGTTAAGTACAACGTTTTGGGGAGAAGGGAAGAGAATTCTCTGCAGAATGAGCTCCTACTCCAAGAAAACACAGATCCTGGTGTTACATGAACAATGCATTAGATAACCCTCAAGGCTCTTTTAAGATTAGCTCTCCATCAGCAATTTTAGTTTAGGGCTCTGATACAACAGACAGAAATATTACATTCTGCCACTTTATAGCATTTGTCATACAGTTGATGGTGGGGGCTGGCAAAATGAATGGAGAGGAGGGGCAGCTTTGAAAAGAAGCCTGGGTGAATGAAGTCTGGATTTGTGCAAATCATTAGAGAGACTTTTCAGACAAGTTTAAAATTGTGGGATGGCAAGTGCAAATGTTGCCTGGAAAGATTACAGAATGAGTTATTATGATGTGCAGTGCCATAAGACATAACTAGTGTGTACCAGGATAAAACCCTGGTGGCCTAATGTGGCTCCTCCTGAGCTCAACAGAAAAACTCCCTCTTCCAGAAGAACAGGACTGCACCCTGGATCCATCATCATCAAAAAGAGTTGGCTAGGAAACAGAAGTTGGGCAGTCTTTTCCAGTGTTTTTGCTCTTTGGGTTTACTTCTGGTAATGCAGAAATTAGTTAAATAAATAATAAAGTAGGTCAAAATAGACTTTTGCTTTTTGAAGACATTTTTCCACCACAACTTTATGGCTCAAAAGAATATGAACTGAATGAACACACTAAAAGCTTCCTAGTGGTTAACCTGCTCCCCCCTTGATTCTTTTCCTTCCACTGCGCTGTACAACTTTGTTTTGAGTAAGTATACACATAAAAAAACAGCCTTCAGACCAACTCTTCAAATATAAATTGGAGTGGAAATGTTCAAAATCAGGGCCAGAAGCACCACGCAGGAGCAGAATTATATGTCTAGTTAGGCACATGTCTGGTTTCAGTGAGTTTTGTTTATTTTACAGATTGGCAAATTGAATACAGTCCACAAAAGAACTAGGCATTTGATCTGGTTTTGCCCACTTCAAATATTTTCAAATCCATGCTTGAGTGAGTTATAGTACCTCCCACTACCCACAGTCTTTAGATTTTCATGTCTAAATATGGAGCATTATTTAAAGACCATAAAAGGAGGCTAGCCTTTTACTATAAGACACAGACAAAGGGCAAAAGATCTATAAGCCAACTAATTTTCAAGCAAGAGTCTTTTGCTGTGATTCACTGGAACTTAGGGCACCTATACACGTGACGGTGCTCTGCTTCGAGACTGCTGCTGTACTAATTAGCACACTCCAGCAGCCTCTGCATCATGTGCATTCAGTGTCCCCATGTTTCAAAATGGCAGTAGGGGCACTTTAACTGAAGCTCGTTGAATGAGCTTTAGTTAAAGCTCCCCCGCTGCCATTCTGAAGTATGGGATGCTGAATACACATGATGCTGCAGGCGCTTTAATTAAAGCGCCCCACTCCACCCCAGAGCACGTGTATAGTGACTACCCTCTTATGGATAGTAGAACCTGCTGCTGCCTTCGATGTTTTGACTCGTGTTTCAGAAACAGATTTTTTTTAGGAGAGGAAATAAATCCAGATCGTCTTTCAGAACTAGTATGACCATACTTCTGTGCTAAGTATGCAGTTTTCAGCAGCAGGTAAACAGAAGAAATATTGACAGTGAAATATTGTGTTAGTATGCTCTTTTATCATCTATTCCATTACTTTTATTTCTGTGAATAACATTTAAATAAATTCTATACCATTTTATTCCATTGATTTCAATCAGCTTTGGATCAGCTCTTAGAAGGCTATGCATTATCATGATCTCATGAAAAAGAAAGATATGTAAAGGCATAGCAAAATCTGTGCTCTGTTGTACAAGACAAAGCAGTGGGGGAAAAGACAAGAACAATGTACAGAACGGATCTGCATGACAGTCATTCCAATGGCAAAATTATTACAGGCTATTATCTAGTTGTCTGGAGGAGCAGTGGACCAGCTGGCTGTGATGTTCTGCTCAAAGTTAAACACAGACAGGAAACCGCATGTCTGATACTGTAAAAATCGTTTGTCTTCCTGCCATGGCTAACCAGGCAAGCAACCCAAAGGAGCTGTTTTCATTTAAAAAGAAACACTAACCCTCTACAATTAAAAAAAAAAAGAAAAGGAATGACAAAACCTCCATTTTTTTTTCTCTTTGGAGTCAATGTTTGTGTTTGTGAATGGACTGGAAATGTTACAAATTGAAAATTTGTGTTGCTTTATTTTTCAGCTGGACTACTCAGAGGTTAGGCATAATGGCAATGCACTTCTCCCATACTCACAAGAGACTCTACCTAGAGAGAACCTAACCAATCCTAGAGTGTAAAAGAAATTAGAGTTAAAAAAAGACCAGGTCTATGTTTATACAAAGCCTTCTTTCACACTAATCTGGCAGTGGAAAGGGGACGCAGTGTAAATTAGATAACACTGGATTTATGGAATGATTGCCATAAACATTAACGCAGAAGACACATTTGACATGCCAATTATATTAAGCTATCTAGCAACTATAACATGAGTAATTCAACACCAGATTAGACAACATCCATAAGGGTGTAGCTGGCTTTACTTAGAAAACCTTGACACCTGAGAGATGGTAAAATGGTTGGATCTTTTCACTGGGAACACATTCACTGTAATTAAATCAAGACAGTTTAGACCATGAATCTGCATCCCTTACTGCATAAGAATAGTTACTTAAATGACTACATTATTTACATGAGTAAAGATACCAAGTATTGCAGGATTTGGTATACCAAGATACCAAGTATTGAAGGATTTGGGTCCTTATTGATTCTTTTCCAGAAATTCAAATACAGTCCTTAATGCCTGTATCAGAGGAATACATGCAACATGATAATTCAGTGTACTGCACACAGCACTCACATGGAGTACACCTGCACAAAGCAAGTCCCAGAAAGCCTCAGGCATATCTGAAAGAGACTATGCCCCAGACTTGACAGTCAGTGATGGGAAGCTTGAAGCCTGTTTGTCTAGTAAGGGAGAAAATAAATGGGGCATGTGTATGCGTGTGCACATGCGCACCTGTGCACACAGTGTTAGGTATCACAAACACTACTCCAGTTCTTTTTTCACATTCAAGAACTAGCACAATATTTACTGGCAATCCTGAAGCAGATTAGGGGTTTGATTCTCTGTTGCCAAGCACCTGGAAGCCTTTTCCATACACAAACCTAAACCAAACGAAACTGGTACAAACCTGCCTTTAGACACTGCTATTTGGGTTTAGGAGGGCTTTATTTTATGTTGGATTAAGCTTGTTCCTACTCAACACAAACCAATTTAAAAATGTGCTTTATTAAAGGCAAAATGTAGCCTTCTGTACTAGTTCAATGTAGATTTTGTACTAGCTTCATTATTTTAATCAACTAGGCTAAGATAGTACACATTTCTACCATATACAAGTCCTTAGATGTGGCAAGTGACCCTTCAGTCATTTCCATAGTATTATTAGTCTGTTGTGTGGTATGGTATGTCAGGAGTACCGTTACACGAACATAGCGCTTTAGCAATGGAGTTTTGACTTTCAAGGCACATAACTTGTGCCAAGTGCCAGAACTGTTTCAAAGAGGTTAGGGGTTTGAGAGAAGAAAAAAAGTCATTTGGAAGCGGGAAAGACAGACAGACAGATAGGTGGTATGACTCAGAAGGGACCAAAATATCTTTAGGCATCAAGACTTCCCCATCAGAAATAAAAAAAATCTCTGGACGATTCTATTTTCACTATAGAATCGTCCTTGAAATGGGAGTAGTGCAGAGCTAAAGTACCCTACATGAGCACCAAAGAGACAGGATGATAAGATAATAGAGGCAGGACCCATGTGGTGTGAAGACTCAGCAGCACAAGACAATGCCTTGTACGGTGGAGCTTGGCATGTTTCTTCCTGTCCTCATTGGAAACGCACCTGTAGGAGTGACTTTTTGTGGGTTCTTACCTAGCCCTTGTGAAAGGACCAGGTGGCACACACCCACCTTTTCTGACCCCTGATCCTCTGCCTGACAATGGCATTTAGTAGAGATCCTTCAAACTCAATAAGCAAGCTCCCTTTCCCCCATCAGGTGACATGACACACACTGAAATTTTGGATTATAAATACCAAACATTCAAATTTGGAGCAATTTTAAATAGCAAATATGCAAGGAAAAATAAAAAAAATGTACACATAGAAAAAAAGTGAAATTAATTGAAAATATTAATAATAAGAATTACTTAATTATCTGTGAAATGGGTTATGGACGTAATGGACAAAGTAATGATTACTGGAAATTCAACCATTTCATTAAGAATGAACTTATGGGCACATTAAAAACATAAATCCTCTCACTGGATGCATTAGATTTGAACCTGAAGGCATTCAGCTTAAGTATTGGTAGCGAACCTCTGGGAACTCTAAACTCATAATAATATTGAAAGAAATGTATTGTTTTCTTGACTTTCCTCCTTCTCAGTGGAGGAGATGAGCAGAGATCTCCAACAGGATGTTCTGGGCTACAGGAAGCCTGAAAGAAAAATCCCATATTTTGCCCAGAAGTAGGAGTGGATAGAAGGGGGAAAAAAAAGCTTACCATCTGAAAAAATGGGCACATCATTGCATTCTTCATCTTTGCAGGAGCACATATACATCAATCCTCCTTCTGCCTTCTTTTCTCTCATCAAACATTTTTTTGAGTTGTAGTCTTCTAAATGATAGCCATAGAGTGGCTTTTTGGGATCATGGCATATTGTTTCTAAAGTTACATTTTCATCATTCTGTCTCCTAAAATTTAAAAGAAGAATTACAAACTACAAAGATGACTACTGTATAACAAGAACAGATGAGTTTCACCCAGAAAGTGTCTTAAGAGGAACTGATTTCCTGCATATGTAGTAAATTTAGCCTTTTCCACAGTGAGGGTTTACATGCAGCAGCGCTACTAGACTTCAATGAGGGTGGCTAGGCCAGCGCACACTGCTTCTGAAAATCTCACCCCAAATAACTCAAACTAAAGGTAGACTGACCTGCTTTTCATCTCAGAATATTTTTGGTTCAGGGTTGAGGCAAGGGTAAGACATCTTTTTAGCTAAACCTTTTCAGTGGCACCTAGATTTGCCCAGTTCCTATTTCTAGAACCTAACGCATTTTACCTAAGGACAATGGACCCTCAGTAGATGGTACGCATAAGCTTGTGATTAGGAGATTCCTTTGCTCTCCTCCCACTCCTGAGTTTTTGGCATCTGTGGTTACAATCCTAGACAGTAAAAAATATGTAGCAAATTATAGAAGGGAAAAGAGTTTCTTGAAGTCTGTGGAATTTTTGGAATTAGCTTTTTTTCTTTTTACATTTAATATCTGCAATGATCATATGATTAAGCATGAGCATGTTTCTTTAAAAGTATGAAACTGGTAGAAAACAGGAATTACAAAACTGACCTATACCTTCTATTTTTTTCCTGTTTGTGTGTGTGTGTGTGTTTTTTTTGCCTACCTTTTTTTGCCTACCTTTCATGTAAGATGCAAAGTGTGGAATAAGAACTCACGAACTAGAACTCACGAACTGGCTTGTCTTTTGGACAGACGTTCAGTAAAAAAATCCAGAGAATCTCTCCAACTGCATTATGTTAACTTTGTAGCAGTCAGTAATTAATTACACACGTATTATTCAGGGGCACTAAGACTGAATAGTACGCTGGACTGTTTTGACGTTTCAAGTAACCATGTTCATTCACACTGGACAGCCTTTCAAGTGTACAAATATAACAAATTCATCAATGGATTGATCAAGTGCACTTTCACATAATTGGTCCTAATTAGACCCCAGAGTTAACATCCATTTAAATGTAAATGAATGAAAAAACCCATGACTTCATGCTTCTGCCCCTGTCTGGCTAGGAGCTGAAAGATTTTCATTGCCAAGGCTGGCTTAATGTGTATACAAAAGGAAGAACCTGATCATTTTCAGACTGGAATGTAAGCTTAGATTCAATAAGCTCTTCAGTAATGCTTCACAAGTCATTAATTTGTACATGTCCAAGCTTTCTTCTGTCCCAGGTAGAAGTCATAGGGTCTCCAAAAAACTACATATAAACAAGAGGTAGCATATAAAATAAAAGAATCCTTTCCCCATCCCTTACACAGGAAAAGCACCTCCAAACACACATGGCATGTAAGGCTTTCATGATCGATGTGTATTATACAAATGATAGGGTTAGTTTCCTGTTTAATGATTGACTTGAAATACAGTTACGCCCCTTCATTCACATAAACTAATACTACCATGAAATTCTCTCTGTCTTAAATTTGTTTCTACTGTCAGAGTGCTGTGGATAGACTCAGTTTGATGGTCTGAGGAAAAAACGCAATTCTTTTAACAAAAGCATGTAGTTGAAACAGAACTATTTAAAAAAACACATTGCATATCAGAATTTTTGTTAACTTCAAGCACCCTTCAGCCTGCTGAGCAAAGTTATGAGTCAGAGGCTAGAGCATACAGCATGTTATGGTGATAGTATTTGGAGTACATGTTCCAAAAGAGGGTTTGAATATCTTGACAATAAGGGAAAATTCTAAATAGTTAGAAAAGTGGATACTTGGCTGCACAAAAAATGAACTTACCATACAGCCGCACAGACTTCACTGTCATTTTCACAGATGGAAGTGATGTTGCAGTTGCTATTGCATTGACCTTTGTTTGAGCAGGTGGTCACCTTAACATCACAAAATTTGCATAGTGCATTCAGTTTATATCCATTGCCTCTGCTTACATCCATAGATTGGATAACTTCAACTGGAGAGGGGAGAGAGAAAAATAAAACACCTTAGTTACTGTGGCACATCAGACTGCATTAGAGCTGTAGCAAACTAGCAAACTTCCTTTATAGTTAAGGACACCTCCAGTTTACCTAAATGGAAAATTCTCTTTAACAACTTGACAGGTGCCATTGGTGTTCTGTCAAAGCATCATTCAAAGTGCTAATTTCCCTCGATTCCCTTTCACAGCAGTGTTAACTGAAAATTCTTTCTACCCTACCTAAAAGTACCATACTATAACCGTCACCTCATTCTATTTTGAATATGGAGGTACAGTCCCTGGTAAATTATATTCCCAACATACAAGAAGTTGCAACTTCTTCTGAGTAGTCTGGCAACCCAGGATAGCACAAAGTATCAGATTCTGGGAAATCTGGGGGATGGGGGTGACAACCATAATATTCATCTGGATGTACACCATGGGTAGGGACCGCAGTTACATGTAAACTGGTTGAAGTGATCAGAAACTGGTTTAAACTTGTAACAGAACAGAACCTCAGTGCACATAATCCAGTTTCAAAATGGCTGAAACTGGTTTAAGATAAACCTGGTTGAATGTAGTATCAGACTTAACTGATTTGGGTCAAACCAGTTTATGAAACTACTGTCCCAGACCCGTTCCTGATTCAAGTTAAATCAGAGTCCCCCAGCATGCTTTCCAGCCCTGGGCTGGGTTGTGCTGTCTACTCCAGAGAGCAGGGCTGGCCCTGCCCCTCTGCTTCCCAGCTGGAGCAGTGAGGGCTAGCTGACAAAGGGGTGAGGGGGGCGGGGGCAAGCCCAATCTATGCCCAATCTATGGGAATCAGCCCAATCTATGCCCCCTGCTCCCCCACCCCCAGCAAACCCCATCTGGGGGGGTGGGGAAGCTAAACACCTGTCCCCCCATTAAAACGTACTGCTGGTTGTAACTGTGGACTACAAATCTCAGAGGGGCCTGGAAGCAGGAAGAAGTATGATAAAAATGTCTCATGATCCCTTATTCTCACTATACAGGGCCTCACAGCTGAACTGTGAGCTGTTTCTTCTTTCCTCCTGCAGTAGATAAGCAGTGTCATAATAAGAAACAGTCCAGGCAACGCTCGCTTTGTGATAAGATTCAAGGCTTCTTGTTAGAACACATAGATTAATGCTTGCTTTAAACATACATTTTGTAGACATCATACTCGCTCATTGCCCTAGAATACACCAAGACACGAGGTTAATAAGGGGCCCACAGTTCAGAACTGCGCATGCGGCAGGCCTTTGCCGCATTTCTGTTTTAAGACTACGCATGTACTAAACTTTGCAGAAAAATATAACCAATTACAAATTGCCACGCTGGAATCTATTGTTCAGGTTAGCTATAAAAAATGGAACCTCGGGCACGGCTCGGGGTCGACTTTGCTTTGAGCACTGAGCTCCTTTGTCGAACTGTTTACAAACAATAAACTCGAGTTAGACCCAGCTTGAGTGTGTGACTCTCTCCTTGAGATAAATTGGACAAGCCTCCGGGGGCACAAAACTAGCAGTTTGTGCAACAGAAGCAGTGATGAACAACCCTGCAAAGTCCTGCTGCTGTAATTCTGGACTGCAAATCCCAGAGACCTTGAAGAGGAAGTGAATACACAGCCAGAGAGCCATGGTCTAGTGTCCCCCACCCTCTCTGGCTTCCGGTCTGAGTCTTTGCAGGCATGTGGCTGGATTCCTGAATCAAAGGTAAATGTCTGCTCACTTCCGTTTCAATTTCATTTGTGCAGTTTAAACTAACCTGCAAAGGCTGAATTGATTCAGTCTCGGGCTTTTTGACTGCCTGTACCTAGCCCATGAGCTTGCTATGCCATGAACACTGCCCATAATAGGACTCTTGGTCACATAACAAATTTCTAGGTCAAGGCAGGTAGTGCTTTAAACTGGTACCAACTGAAGGGTATGGGTTGAAACTCAAACTAGTAATACAATGGGGCTGTGGCTACTTATGCAGCTAATCCCATCACTATGTGCTGCTTGAATGTTATGGCGCAGCGTGGTTGCTCTCACTGGAGTGGGGCTAACTTCTAGTATAAGTGATTTGTATCATACTGCAGTGAAGATATAACCTGTAGACATCTACGTTCCAACTGACCCATGGACTGGCCTTTTGGCTAGTGTTTCTTTATGTAGTCATTGATAGCAAGTAAGCAATTACTTGATTTCTGGATACTTCACAAAGGTCTTGGCCTTTTGTTTACTTCAGTTTGGTAGTAATAAAGGGATGAGCAATCTTTCCCTCTATGTATAACATTCAGGAAACATTTTAAAGTGTTATTTTTAAATCCCATCATGGTTGTAAAGAACAGAAAATGCCACGGATTTTTTGAAAACGAAATTTTTTTTAATGCGTGGATTTTTTTAAAAACTAAAATTAACATGGAAGTAAAAGGAAGTAGACTTTGAATACAATAGTTTAAATACAATTTAATTGGTAGGTTTCCACAAAATTGCATGAAATCAATTTAAAGACAGTCTATTTATTATTAACACTTCTGTTGCAGCCCCTTGCATGTTAAAACTATATTCATTTGGCATTCTAGGGCCACACGTTATTACTTAATATTAGAGGGAATCAGGGTATCATAATTCCCCCATTCTTCTGCATTAGGGCTAGGGACAGACATTACACACAAACTGGTTTAAGTGATCAGAAACTGGTTTAAACCTGTTGCAGAGAAGATGTTCAGTGCACATAAACCAGTCTGAAAATGGCTGAAACTGGTTTGAGATAAACCTGGTTGAATGTAGTATCAGACTTAACTGGTTTGACTCAGACTGGTTTAAGCAATGTCTGTCCCAGACCCCTTGCTGGTTTAAGATAAACCAGACACCCCAGCATCCCAGCATGCTCTCTGGGCTCGCTAGGACTCTCTGCTTCACAGCAGGGTTGGCCCCTTCCACCTACTCCCTGGGCAGAGCTCCTTTGGCACAGACTTGCAGACACAGCAGCGTCTGCTGGTTTTCCTGTGCCCCCTTCCCCTCCTCTCCCCTCCCCCGCCTTTCACCACGTGCTGCTTAAGCAGGGATCCCTTCCTCCCCTCTCACACAGCATGGACCACAGTCAGCACGTGGTATGCTAGCGCTATATAAGGCTCTGGCAGAGACTGCAAACACAGCAGGGTCTGCTGGATTCCCCCTACCCTACCCCCCCACCTACTGAAGCAGGAATCCCTCCCATCTCCCACAGCACAGACCCCAGCCACACAGACCCTAGGCATGTGGTGTGCTAGCTAATGCCAAGAGGTGCCTGTATGTGTGTATCTCCAATTTCATCGAGACAGGGCTTTTGGAGCTAATTAACAGGTCACTTGGGTAAGCTGGTTAAGAAAAGCTTACCCAAGCCGGGGTGGGGGGGCACTTTTCCGAGGCTTAAGCTGGTGGGGGGGGCCCTGGTAGTTGTGCGGGTGCTTTATCTGCACCCTCCATACTTGATTGGGAGTTAAAGCCCAGGCGGCAGGAATTCCGGACACCAGGTCAACCCAATGCATTCCTATGGGGACTTTCAAGTAATGAGAGAGAGGCTACTGTTTTGCTAATTTTGTGATAAATACTCTAATCAGCTCCAGGCTACCTAGCTCCCCTGTCAGTTTGCTGCAGACAGTCTGACAAGCAGGGAGGGAATTTGAAAAGCTCCGTATCATCGACAGATGCATGCACTGCACCCCGCCTTTCCCTCCCCCCACCTTGCCTCAGAGTGCTAGCAAGGGTCTGGGAGCTGACAACTCTCCCGCCCCTTGAGCAGCCAGCAGCGAAAAGCTGGGGATAGTGCAGGCAAATCTCCCTACTGACTGCAAAAGTCTTGCTGGGGCCTGGCCGCAGCCCCCTCAGCTCCACTCTGTGCAAGGGAAGGGAGGACTGCTCCTGTGTCCCCCGGTTTCTAGCCTGAGCCACTGCAGGCATGTGCCTGAATTTCCTCAATCCAGAGAGATTGTCTGTATGGTTGGAAACCAGTTCACCCTAGGCAGGTTAGACTAACCTGCAAAGGTTGAATCAGTTCAGGCTCAGGCTTTTTGAATCTCTGTCCCTAGCCTAGCAGTGCAATCTAGTTTTCTTTCTAGAACTTTCTTATTTTACTATCAGGAGTGTGTTACTATAGGAATTAAATAAACATGTTTTTCTTCAAAAGGAAAAAGTTCTTATGATAAATTGTTGAGGGGATCTTTGCACCACCGCTGTAAGGGAGATACAGAGAAGAGATGCCTTCATTTCTTTCTTTCTCCTTCAGCCAAGCAACACCTCTTCCTTTTCTTTCTTAGAACACAGTGGTCCTGATATTACTGCAATTAAAACAATCAGCAAAACTTTCACCAATTTTGAGTGGTTCAGGAGAAGTTTCTATGTTCTGAGGAAGGACAGAATGAGCTCACTTGAAGTTTTCATTAGGGTGGAGCATCCTGGCAAAACATTACAAGCTGACTGGATTTTAGGCCTTAGGTGAACACTTTTATTAATGTATTTGTGTTGCAATAATTCCCAAAAGGATTGAAGTCATATCAAACTAGATGCTGAACAAACACAAAGAGGGGGATGCAAGCACTTCATAATCAAACATATTATAAGAGGTCTAGTAATTAATTAATCATTGAAAATTATTTGCTCTACATGTAATGGTGCCTCTACTTTAACAAATACTTAAGATATATTATTAGCACGATTCATCATCCCACTTGCAGTAGCACTGAGAAGTCCAAACAAGTTCAGCAATACCCCAATGCATTACATATAATGCAGTAAGAGTCTATCCTTGACCCTAAAACCAGACATTAGATGGGGCAGACCCAGGATGCATGAAAGGAGATATTATTATCCACTTTTTACTGAAGGGAAGACTGAGGTCTGAGAAATAAGTGGCTTGCTCAAGGTTAGAGGAAATCGGTGGCAGAAGCTAGAATAGAACCTATATCTCCTGACACCCAGTATAGTGCCTTAATAGCCTGAGCATGCTTCCTCGTTTGCCATGTAATGAGC